TTCGGCTTCCGGACGCTCCAAGACGGCCCAAGAGGCCCCCAAGACCGCTCCAAGACGGCCCACGAGGCTCCCAAGACGGCCCCGGAACGGCCCAGGAGGGCCCCCAAGACGGCCCAAGTGCCGCCCAAGACGGACCAAGAGGCCCCAAGACGGGCCCAAGAGGGGCTCAAGAGGGGAACCGAGAACTGAAAAATCGAGCCCTCCGCCCCAGAAGGCGCCCAGGAGGCCCCAAAAAGGCCCCAAGAGGCCCCCAAGAGGCCCCCAAGACGCCCCAAGAGGCGCCCAAGAGGCCCAAAAGAGGCCCCAAGAGGCCCCAAAACGGCCCCCAAGAGGCCCCAAAACTCGGCTAGCCCACAACGGTGCGACAATATGGGCCGGCGGAATGAGCGAAGCGATTAAATAAGGAACGGGGTCCCTTTTTTCCATAAGTTAAACTTTGATTTCCCATCGAAAACCTAAGGAAAACCTCAGGCAGGCTGTAAAACAATGAAGGAACACGGAGCCCCTCCCCAACGAAAAGGGTTCCTTCTTCAGCACCCCGACTGTAAGGATGCAAGGGCCTTGGAACGCCATGTTGACGTTCTCCGTGCGGATCGCAGCAGAATGCCGAAGGATGCCGAGTACCGACGGGGCAAGGATGCAAGGGTAGCCTTGGAAAGTTGCCCCATCCTTGCTATCATGGTTGACTGTATCGACCCCCACGTTTCCAGCGAAAGCATATCACTGCCGCCCACGGCAGTGAAATGGTGCGGGCGCGGCCGCAAGAAATCCTCGCAAGAAACCCAAGCCCGAAAACCCGCGCGCGGGGTGCACCCGAGGGGAAACCCGGAGCACCCTGAACGCAGCAGCTTCTTCAACGGCCGCGGGAAGTCACCGCGCAGCGCGCGGAGCGAAGAAACCCACGACACCCTGACCAAAGCATATGATTTCTTGATGCGCGCCCCCACTGCACCCTCCTGCCAGCGAAGGTGTGGCTCTCGCCTCAGCGCCGAGCACACCCATTCAAAAAAAACACAACAATTTCACGGATGGAGGGTTGATCGTTTCAGAATTTGGGCATCGGCATAGCGTCGTGCTTACGTGTATAGTAGAACGACAGGGCCGAACGGTCACTCACTGTCCCTGGGTGCGTGGCTGAAATGTGATTTCGCTGCTCGGATGATGCTTGTGTGCTGTTATTGCTGTTGTTGGTGTTGCTGTTTTTGAATGCTCATTTCTAACGTACCATTATTGTTGTTCCCACCTCCCGTGCCCATGTTGAATGTTCAATTAGATTGCCGCACCATGGCTCGCACCTGTTTTGTTATACAGGGAATATAGAGCCTCAGACTGGGCTGCTGACCTCCAAACGACAACAGCAGCAGCAACAGCAGCAACAACATTAACAGCAGCGGCAGCAACAACAACAACAACAACAATCACAACAGCAGCAACAACAACAATAACAACAACAACAACAACAACACCACCACCACCACCACCACCACCACCAACAACAACAACAACAACAACAGCAGCAGCAGCAGCAGCAGCAGCAACAACAACAACAACAATAACAACACCAACAACAACAACAGCACCAACAACAACAACAACAGCAGCAGCAGCAGCAGCAACAACAACAACAACAACCACAACAACAACAACAACAACAACAACAACAAGAACAACAACAACAACAACAACAACAGCAACAACAACAACAACAACAACGGCTCCCGCATGGTTAGGTTAGGTTTGTCGCCGATTTTCGCTGCACGCTCGGGTGCCCGGGTGCCCGGGGGTGCCCGGGGCTCGGGGTGCCCCGGGGGTGCCCGGGGGTGCCCGGGTGCACGGGTGCCCGGGTGCCCGGGCGTGCCTGGAGATGCCCCGGTGGGTGCCCGGGGGTGCCTTATAGCCCTATAGCACTAAGCCCTACAGCCCTGTAGCCCTATAGACCAATAGCCCAATAGCCCTATAGCCCTACAACTCTATAGCCCTATAGCTCAATAGCCCTATAGCCCTATAGCCCTGATTGGTTTTTTTCTCGGGTATCATTTGACACGACGCGCCCACGACACTCAGGAATCACGCTCTCGCTGTATTTCGCACGATTTACTTGGGAATCGCGCTATCGCTCGAAACATCCTCGCGATTCATGCAGGACGCACGATTCAACAACCCGCCTGGTCGACCTGGCCGCCTGGGCCTGCCTCCCCGACCCACCCATTAGGGTCTGCCTGCCCTATCTACCCGCCTGGTTCTGCCACGTGCGTTCTGGTCCTAACCCCATCCTGCTACTCTCTCTCTCGCTATCGTGCTGCATTCTCCTCCCTCCCCCTTGTCCCTTCCTTGCATCCTCCCTCTTTCCCCCTGTTCTAGGGGATGCGCCATGATCGAAAACGAAAAAGGCGGGTACCGAGGGTGCGGGATATACGTGCGAAGTGGCTTTTGAGAAAACACGACATACCGCTATTTGACTTATTGTTATTGTTCCCAACCGTCTTATGCTGAGTTGGGTCTGGTTTTGAATCAGCAACGCCCCGCGTTCGTCATTACTCATCGTTCTCCCCCTCCTCCCTCCTGCCTCTCTCTGCCTCTGCCTCCGTATTTCGGCACACCCCTTGTCACACCGTGGTCCCAGAGGGAGCGCAACCGAGCGCCCGCAAGGCCAGGGCTCGCATGTGGTACCCGCCCCCCTTTCGGCACACGCCTCACACGTTTCATGGTCCCAAAGGTAACTCCACCGAAGGCGCCATTGGCAAGGTGCGCACGCGCTACCATGTCGGCAAACCCCTCACATTTTCCGTGGTCCAATACAAGCCCCACTGAAAGCCACAATGGCAAGGCTCGCAAGACGTACCCGCCCCCTTTCTGGTTCACCTCTCAAAGGTTTCGTGGCCACACAGGGAGCTCCACCGAAAGTCTCAATAGCACGTGCCCGCCTCCATTCTGGCACAAACCTCACATGGTTTAGGCCCACACGGAGCGCCCTTCCCTTCGCCCCATCTGCCGTGCGGAACTCACGCCTGCGTGTGGTTAGGCCCTTCACCAGGATGAGTGTTGTTGGTTGTGAATGTTGATACTGTTGCTGTTTTTAAGAGGCATCATTGTTGGCTCCCCCGGTAACCATTAGTCTTCAACTAACATGCTTCTTCAAAGGCTCGCACCCTGTCTTCTCTCACCCTGGACAGGGAGGTGTCACCAAGCTGTGTTGTTGGCCCCCAGGTTTACAACAACAGCGGCTCCCGCATAATACTTCCTCACAGTGTAATCGCGCTCTCGCGCGGGACCGCCTCAAAACGTATGCAGAAGCGCTCACGCGTTGGACTTCCTCACGGTGTATTCCGACGCCGCGCCCTCGACACTCAAGAATCACGCTCTCGCTCTGGAATTCATCACGATATATTTTGGAATCGCGCTTTCGCGCGAGACTTCCTTGCGATCCATGCAGGACGCACGCTTCAGCAACCCGCCTGCTGGACTTGGCCGCCTGGGCCCGCATTCCTGACCTGCGCGTTGGGGTCTACCCGCCCGATCTGCCCGTCTGGTTACACCTCGTGCGTTCTGCTCCTAGCCCCCATCCTGCTACTCTCTCTCGTGCTCCATCCTCCTCCCTCCCCAGTTGTCCCAGCATTTCGTCCGTCCTCTCTTCCCCTGTCTCAGGGCCTGCACGAAATACACATTGCACGTCAGAAAGATATACGTCTGAGGGGGTAAAATCGAAGACGGAGGGGACAGGTATCGATGATTTCGGATATACGTGTTGAATGGCACGCGAGCAGATAAGAGTGAACAGTATTGAAATCATTGTTATTGCTGTTGTGTTTGTTGTTGGACTTGAATGTCAAAATTGTCATTGTCCGCCAGCCCAACGGGCCAGAGGCGTGCTAAGATCTCCGGCTCCTGGTAAACAGTATTTCTAGTTCGCGCGCGCGGGGGGGGTCCTGGGGGTCCCCAGACGAAAAGTACCCCGGGCGGTCAGACCCAGAGATTTGTTGTTCCTTCTGGGCGCGGCTTTCAGGCGCCCCAGAGCGCTCCTAGAGGGCCCCAAGAGTCCCCAAGACGGTCCAAGAGGGCTCCGAGTCGCCGACCGATCGGTCACAGACGCCCAAGATAGCCTCCAGATGGCCACTGACGCCCCCAAGACGCCCAAAGAGACCTCGAAGAAGCG